AAGCTGGCAGCAGTGGCAGACAACTAAGTGCTTTTACATTAGATAGAAAAAAAAAATCCAAAAAAAGCATACCCTTATCCCTAACCTAGCTATGCTTTTCCCTATCTTATGAACAGCAGCTACACTTTCCTCCTCTTACTAAGCATGCAGCTTGAGAATGAATCTAAAATGGATGCTGTCCAGTAGGTGGGAGGGTCTGCTAGGGAGGCTGTGCTGCTAATTGGTTGGAATGTGTCTGCTGACTGTGAGGTACAGGGTCAAAGTTTACTCAATGATGACGAATAGGGGGCGGGTCGAACCGCGCATATGTTCGCCCGCCGTGGCGAACGCGAACATGCTATGTTCGCCAGGAACCGTTCGCCGGCGAACCGTTCGGTACATCACTAATCACATGTTTTAATTCAGGAATTAACTAGCATAGGATCAGGTACACGCGCCTCTCTTGAATCTTAGTTGCCATAGTTACACGTTTCTCTGGCAACTAGAAATGACTTTGGATTTCTAAACAGTGGAACAAAAAAAAAAAACTCCACTGTGAAATTATATTGAAATTGCCTTTGAAACCGAGATGAAGGATGTCACTTTAATTATTAAGGCTGATCATTACTAATTAATGCACTCACTCATTTGTCAGGTTTGCAGAACCTATTGCTTTATTGTGCAGACACGCTTCTCTAGGCAAGTGGTTATGTCCTGTGCTGGGTAAATTATGAAAATTACAGAATTATAGAAAAACAGCCAATCAATTCTACAGGCTGGCTACCCAACACAATACACTGGAGTGATGGCTGATGACAAGCATCATTAACGAATAAGGTATGAGATTTTTTTAAATGTTTTCTCATGAGAAATTAAAGAAGCTTGGACGTATTAGGAAATGATGCAGATATTCTAGGTTTCCTTAATGTACAAACAAGAATGATATTTTTAAAGAAAAAACAAACAAACAGGTAGCTGGCTATGGTAATGTGAGAAAGAGCTGTTATAGACAAGGCTTGGAATGAAGTAATAATCCAGGATACTATAACATAGAAGAGGACAATGTATGGAGTATACATACTCAAAAGGAATACAGTGAGAACTGATTATACACTGTCATGACAACCTGATCTTTGTCAGCCCTATCCAACATGCAATATTCTACAAAGAGATAAGAACTGCTTGTTTATTGATATGTAGGACTTAAGATGTTAGTGCTGACTTCCTTAAAGGGACACTATAGTTACCAGAACCACTACAGCTTAATGTACTTTTTCTGGTGTCCATGGCATGTCCATGCAGGCTTTTTAATGTAAACACTGCCTTCTCAGAGAAAAGGCAATGCTTACATTGCTGAATAATAATACCTTTAGTGGCAATCATTTAGACGGCCACAAGAGATGATTCCTAGTCCAGGGCTGCACAGTGACGGCCAGCCAATTCACTGCATTTCTATGAGTAGATGCTGATTGGTGCAGTGTGCATACACAGTGCCCTCCCAATGCTCTCCTATGGGAAAGCATTGGATTTGCTGAGGTCATCAAGTTTGATGATCTCAGCCATGGAGACAGGGCCCACCGCAGCAAAACCAGGTACAGCATAGGAAAAAAGGTGCGTTTAAACACATTTTTACTGCACAGAGGTGAGCTAGATACCCAAATAGTTAGTTTGACACTATAGTCTCAGGAATACATGTTTGTGTTCCTTTAAGGTCCACCTAGTTGTGATGCAGTCGTCTGTTATTAGTCCTTAATGAGTTAAAAGAAGAAAATTCTAAGAGTCTCTGCCCAGTCATGTCTTATATATTAATCATGGATCATTTTTTTTCCTCTGGCTTTACACAGATAAAATACTGTCCAGTTTAATAATAGATTAAATATAACTAATGGGTTTGTATTACATATAGTGTATTTGGGGGCACACACAATTAAGGTATACATGGTGTACTAAATAATTCACATATGATTTATTACACAGAATAACATCTACTCACAATCTTCCAAATATACTTAGTAGGTTCAAAGAGACATATTTATTTATTCTGTATGACATGACATAACAGTTCCTGTGCACTGACTGCTTCCTGTATTGTGACAATATGCACACAGTAAGTAGATGAGTGTATTCATAAATGCACTGAAATGTTTGCACCCAGCAAACTCTTTTTTTTTTTTGTCTATGAATTATAGAGAAAGTGTTTCCTGCCATATGGACACTGCCAATCAAATGCAAATGCATGCAGAGGAACCCACAGAACATCCTGGAGAGAATCAATTACCTCCAGAAACTGTCCCACTCCAGGTAAGGTAGACCAACATGTGTCACGTGAAATGAGTAGGGCAGTGTTTAGCCGTTCTAAAATTGTTTGAATTACAGGCAAAACCTATTATCACAATTTTTGTAAGTATAAGTATATGTAGCCAATAATACCTAATTATTTGGAAACATTAAACCTACAAAAAAAAAAAAATCACCTCTATAATATATTGATATGCATTATTATTATTACTTTTATTTAATATGAATGATTTATTTAAACAAGTGATAATGCCCTGTTTTTTGTAAGTGGCTCAAGCTTCGCCTTCAAAGTAAAATTCAAATACTAGGCAAACTGTAAACAAAATTAACTACGCTTCTAATTCAGTTACTTTGGCCTTCAATCTGAAATCCACTTCAGTGAATAATCTGGTAATAGTGTAACTGAGTCCAGCTACTGCAGAATGCATTTAATTAAGACACGGGAGGCACATACTGAAATTCCTAAAAAATAATGTAGCACTCAGTCTGTTAATAACAGCTGGAACCAATTCAATGGCCAGAGAAGGGAGCAATGTGATATATAACAAAATCCAAGCATTTTTTTTTCTCTTTTCTTTTACTAAAAATGCATTGCTTGTGCATGTATCATTCAAATGTAAACTTACTATTCTCTTATGTTAAACTATCTATTGTTATCATAGGGGAGATTTATCAAAGTCTCTGTTCTAAACAGTAATGCAAAAATGAAAAAGAGGAGGGTTGACCTGCTGGTTCCACTGGTTTCCATGGTGATAGCCCCCTTTTTAATTCCAACACTTTATCACTAGATGTCCAAGCTTATCAGGCTTATTTATTAATATTAAATAGCCAAAAGGTATGTCAGAGAGGGCGTCCTGCTTTATAATGTGTTGTCATCCATTTGTACGCAAGGCCTTTGCCTGTAAATTACATTTACACATTGACACAGAGTATTGTTCCCAAAGTAAATAATGTACTGCCACTACATAATTAATGACGTTGACATCAGTTTTAAATTACAAGAAATTAACAGTCATAAGGAAACAAACCAGTTAAATGCATTCCTCAAGTTACGTGTCAGTATTCTAGTTAATATACCAAGCCCTAATCTCGACATATTCTGCAGCATTTAAAGGGAACCTTTGGCCCCTAAAAATATAACTTATTTTTGGGGGACTCTAGATTCCCCTTATGTCCATCTCTCTTTGGTAATAAAAAATTAAAGTTGGAGAATGCTTACTCACCTAGTTGCCAGCATGAGGACTCCTTTGCTGCAGCCACCCAATGCGCCTTCGAAGACGTCAGAATGCCTGCTTAAATCTTTCACGGTCTGCTCCAGTCCATTGCTTCTCATAGATAAACAATGGACTGGAAATAGGCATGTGTGGGTAAATGCTGTGCTCCGACAATTAAATTCTGCTATATGCAGCATTTGATTCCAGGACTGAGTTTCACTAGGGTTTTTATAGGAGGAAACTCCTCAGATGGCTCCCAGGTAGACAGCCACTAAAGGTGTATTTAACCTTGCAATATAAACATTGCAGCTAAGAGAACATATAGATAAACCCAAAAACTGAATATGGGTGACCCAGAGCATCGGAAAGCAAATCACACAGGAATTGTATAATTGAATGCATTAATCAATACATTTAGATTGCCTAGGGTTATTAATTGATCATGGAATAGAGCATGGTCATTGGAATAATGGGTGACAAATTAAGCAACATAGGACTTTATAATCCATTCCACTATCATAGAAACAATATATGGATCCCATGATCAATTATTATAACACTCTCTCTCTCTCTCTCTATATATATATATATATATTCCACATTTTAACAGTATGGTAAATATTGATTTTATAGGATAATGCATATATTGGGGGTATGTCTACTATATGGTCAATTGAATATTGGCCGATTCATAGTACTCATCTTTTGATAGCTAATATTACATGATAGAAACTCTGGGGAATATCCACTAAATGGCCAGTTGGACTGACTTACAGCTTCAATGATCTTCCAGTAAATGGAATTTTTGGCAGTAAATGGAATTTCGATGAAATCCCCTGGTGTGAGTTTGCATGTAATCACTAGAGGATGTGTTCAGAATCTGTGAGCATAGATGTAAGAGACTGCCTCTGATACCAATGATGTAATCAGAGGGTGTAAAGTTGCATACGATTCGCAGACGCTTGATTGGGGTGAGTCCAGCTTCCTTTTTAACCCTAGGGATTCATTTGGAGTGTTTGCACCTGACGAAGTTGCTGCATTAAGCACTGAAATGCGTGTTGGCATCCTTTTTACTTTCTTTTTAAGCACTATGCACTGACTCACTTGTTTGTTTACATTTAGTTTGGGTTTGGGAATGGAAGGGTATTGAGGGATACTAATTGATCAAGTGCACTAAGCATAGTGATTAAGGCTAATAGGAGTGTAGGGTAGTTATAATTAGTGATGTACCGAACGGTTCGCCGGCGAACGGTTCCCGGCGAACATAGCATGTTCGCGTTCGCCACGGCGGGCGAACATATGCGCGGTTCGACCCGCCCCCTATTCGTCATCATTGAGTAAACTTTGACCCTGTACCTCACAGTCAACAGACACATTCCAGCCAATTAGCAGCACAGCCTCCCTAGCAGACCCTCCCACCTACTGGACAGCATCCATTTTAGATTCATTCTCAAGCTGCATGCTTAGTAAGAGGAGGGAAAGTGTAGCTGCTGTTCATAAAATAGGGAAAAGCATAGCTAGGTTAGGGATAAGGGTATGCTTTTTTTTTATTTTATTTTTCTATGTAATGTAAATGTACTTAGTTGTCTGCCACTGCTGCCAGCTTCTGTGTCAGGCTTACAGTGCCCATTTCCCCAGTCAGTGCCACCAATTACATCTGGTGTCACAATAGCTTGGATTTAAAAACAAAAAACTTTTTTCACTGTTATAGATTGAATAGCAGTCAGTTGTCTGCCACTGCTGCCAGCTTCTGTGTCAGGCTCACAGTGCATACTGTGCCCATTTCCCCAGTCGGTGCCACCAATTACATCTGGTGTCACAATAGCTTGGATTTAAAAACAAAAAACACTTTTTTCACTGTTATAGATTGAATAGCAGTCAGTGTCCTTAAAGCGGGTGTGTTACGCTAACAGTGGATACGCTGACAAGTGCCACTAATTACATCTGGTGTCAAAATAGCTTGGATTTAAAAACAAAAAACTTTTTTTACTGTTATAGATTGAATAGCAGTCAGTGTCCTTAAAGCGGGTGTGTTACGCTAACAGTGGATACGCTGACAAGTGCCACTTATTAGATCTGGTGTCACAATAGCTTGGATTTAAAAAAACAAAAAACTTTTTTCACTGTTATAGATTGAATAGCAGTCAGTGTCCTTAAAGCGGGTGTGTTACGCTAACAGTGGATACGGTGACCAGTGCCACCACTTAGATCTGGTGACACAAAGCTTGTATTTAAAAACAAAAAACACTTTTTTTCACTGTTATAGATTGAATAGCAGTCAGTGTCCTTAAAGCGGGTGTGTTACGCTAACAGTGGATATGGTGACCAGTGCCACCACTCACTGGTGTCATAATAGCTTGCATTTAAAAACAAAAAACTTTTTTCACTGTTATAGATTGAATGGCAGTCAGTGTCCTTAAAGCGGGTGTGTTACGCTAACAGTGGATACGCTGACAAGTGCCACTAATTAGATCTGGTGTCACAATAGTTTGGATTTAAAAAAAAAATAATCTTTTTTCACTGTTATAGATTGAATAGCAGTCAGTGTCCTTAAAGCGGGTGTGTTACGCTAACAGTGGATACGCTGACAAGTGCCACTAATTAGATCTGGTGTCACAATGGCTTGGTTTTAAAAAAACAAAAAACTTTTTTCACTGTTATAGATTGAATAGCAGTCAGTGTCCTTAAAGCGGGTGTGTTACGCTAAAAGTGGATACGCTGACCAGTGCCACTAATTAGATCTGGTGTCACAATAGCTTGGATTTAAAAAAAATAAATCTTTTTTCACTGTTATAGATTGAATAGCAGTCAGTGTCCTTAAAGCAGGTGTGTTACGCTAACAGTGGATACGCTGACCAGTGCCACCAATTAGATCTGGTGACACAAAGCTTGGATTTAAAAAAACAAAACACTTTTTTCACTGTTATAGATTGAATAGCAGTCAGTGTCCTTAAAGCGGGTGTGTTGCGCTAACAGTGGATACGCTGACCAGTGCCACTAATTAGATCTGGTGTCACAATAGCTTGGATTAAAAAAAAAAATAATCTTTTTTCACTGTTATAGATTGAATAGCAGTCAGTGTCCTTAAAGCGGGTGTGTTACGCTAACAGTGGATACGGTGACCATTGCCACCACTTAGATCTGGTGACACAAAGCTTGTATTTAAAAACAAAAACACTTTTTTCACTGTTATAGATTGAATAGCAGTCAGTGTCCTTAAAGCGGGTGTGTTACGCTAACAGTGAATACGCTGACCAGTGCCACCAATTAGATCTGGTGACACAAAGCTTGGATTTAAAAAAACAAAACACTTTTTTCACTGTTATAGATTGAATAGCAGTCAGTGTCCTTAAAGCGGGTGTCTTACGCTAACAGTGGATACACTGACCAGTGCCACTAATTAGATCTGGTGTCACAATAGCTTGGATTTAAAAACAAGCACTTTTTCACTGTTACATAGGGTGCAGAATAGCAGTGGTGTCCTTAAGCGGGTGTGTTCGCTAACAGTGAATCACGGTGACCAATTGCCGCAATTAGATCTGGTGACACAAGACTTGGATTTAAAAAACAAACTATTTTTCACTGTTATAGATTGAATAGCAGTTAGTTATCTTCAAGTTGTCAGGCCACCACAGCCTGTCGCTACTACTGCTATTGCCAGTGCACATTGCCACTCATATCTGGTCTCACAGTAGCTTGCACGCATAGTACCACTAATCCCAACAAAATGACAGGCGAGGCAGGCCACCCCGCAAGAGTCTCAAAATAAATGGTCGTGGTATTTGTGATT